GGGATGACCACTGGAATGCGTAACATTTTCTAAGGGGGCAGATGAATTGAAAAATTAACTGTCTAATGTAGTCTGCAACGATAAGTTGAATATAGTTCTAGACGATTAGTAGTTTCGGTGATAACGTTCGTGGGGACACTTGTGTGAGAGTAGTTAGTGCATGGTGGACAACTGATTTGGGGAGGTTTAAGAGAGTCTGAAGCAAATCGGGATTTTGTTGGTGTTGCATATGTTTCACCGAGTTCGAATATTGATGGACGGGGAGATTGGAGGAGGGATGAAAAGAAAGTGAGGGACAAACAATTTGTCTCTCAATATATTACTTCCTCGCTATCGCTTACGCAGTAGAGAAAGTGATGTAATTCTAAGCTGAAAAACGGCAAATTTTCGGCAGAAATAATCTTATTACAGAGCGCTGGTGGACAAAAAATGGTATACATTTAGTTGCTAAATTTAAAAAACAATATCCTTTAACACGTAGTGCAGCCGCCAGAATCCATTTTGTGTGTGTCCTTGATACCGAAAAAACAAGCGACGGCAAAGCGCCTGTCCGTCCGTGTGTGAACACTGCTAGCGGCTAAACCGTTTAGCCGTTTTTTTCCATTCCATTTTCCAAGCCGATTTTTTCGCGGTGCTTTCAATTTGACACCGATATTTTAATTTTGGAGGTACATTAGATGAAATCCCTGGGAATTTTCTAAATTTTCAAAAACATGACTCCATTGTTTTTATTAATTTTTTTGTTGGTTAGTGTGAAGGACGTTTAAGAGATTGGTGCAGGTCTCATGTTCGTTAAAAACCCTTATTTTTCGAAAATTGCAAATGTTCAAAATTTTTTCGGAGTGTTCCAACAAATAAAGTATTAAAAATATCGATTTTTTCTCTCAATGAAATCTCTCCTCAATGACCTTTAAGATATATTTCAAAATAAGGTCCTGCACAATGTTTCGAAAATTTGAGTCATTTTCGTCTAATTTAGCGCGGACGTACAGACGTACGTGCTGCTTTAGCACCACTAGCTCATGGTTGGTTTGTGCTACGCTATTCCCAATAAGGGAAGCTTATATGCGGGATTGTTTTATGATTCATTTGGTAAGTACAAATTTTGCGTTTATTATTGGGTATATTTTTGATATTTTAGAGCAGCCCCTTAGCACTCCGCGTGCCGGGCGCCAACGGGCGCGTGCGAGGGAGCCCACAGCGCAGCCTGCGCCAAGTGGATGAGGTCGTCTGTTGGTTGGCTTGCAATCAGTTCCAACAGTCGGTCCACGTTACTTATTAGTATATGTCGATGGTTCTTTCGGTTCGTGTCGCTGTTTACCAGCATTTGGAATGACGGATGGGCGAGGTCGGAATGTTTAAAGCAGAGCGGGAGCTAGCTTATTTCTTATCACTAATGGAAAGCAAAATTCTTGATGTATAACTGTGTTAATGAAAAATCCCTTCAACGCGGTAGGCAGGTGTCTCTCAAAAAATGTTACTAAATTGTAGGCCATGTAGAGTGGTTCAAAACGATTTTTTTGCCAATACACACACTAGGGGAAATGTGTATAACGGAGTAATATACTTTGATACATATGGCTTTTTGGCATTGATATTTTAGTCAACCTCGTATGCAAATATATTCTTCAGGTGCATGAAATCTTCTTAAGTGCATCAAAACATGCTCTGCCCTACGTCGGTTGAAAAAACATTGCTGAAGTATCAGGAGCAAATTCCATGTATAAATGCGTCTGGCTCCCTTACATGAAATTTCTCACTGCATGTTCACTGGCAAAAAGTGAACATCTCCGACTCTTCTACTTGACCTAAAATTATTTAACATTTATTCTGAGAGATCTGCATTGCGTATTACTACGTTTCCTTACCTGGTCTCAAATGTTGTTCGTGTTTAGAGGTTCCATGTTAAGTGAGAGCTTCCTAACAAGGGTTTACTTTATTACAATAGTGATCATACCATTCATATTTCACTGACAAACCCAGTTGCCCACAAACGATTAGAATAAAGTTTACATTGTATGACTCTAGAATGCGGTAATTCCAAATTTCACTAAAGTCTTGCCATATTATTAACTTCGTGAAAACTATTTTAAATTTACCTCCAAACAGTAATAAAACAATTTGGGGTTTGGCAGATTTTAAAAGTTTATAGGAGAATTCATCACAGAAAACTTATAATTTACTCAGTTTGACGACATTATATCCGAAAAATTATTCAATTACTGCATCTGCATCAAATTCCCTCTAAATGCTTTGACCTTCCTCTTCTTAAACATTTTCGTGTCTTTCTGAACCGTTGAAATGTCTGTGGGTGACTTCCAAGAACCTTGACTTTCTCCGGGCTTCTTTAAACATTTCTCATCCCCGAAAAGTCAGATGTCTACCGTTCGATGTCGTAGTATTTACCACTTTAGACATCAAAATAAATTTGATATCCCCATCGATAGTTTGTTGGAATGCGTTAATGCACTCGCCTAGACGTGAAATATTTACGCCTCGTTCCTTGTCAAGTAAAATGTTTGATCTTACGTTTCTGTGTATTTGCTGCAGCGGAATTAATTCACACAAGATGTTTGATTTATCTGAATTATTTTTCTTCTTCGCTTTTCTGTTTTCGAGTCACACACGCACATAATTCTTTACAAATTCAACAATAGTTATTTTTGAAATGCAGAGAAATATCAAGAGATGGGAAAGGCCGTTTTCGTTAGTTGGTATTGTTTTCGCAGTTACGGAACAAATATGGATTCAAAGCAGTAACATCTCTGCTAGAGTAATAATAATGACATTCGTTATATGCATTTCAATGTTGGTTTTGTTCATGTTAATGTTTCGTCATGGTGATTCTTATTTCTCCTGCCTTTTTCATACCATACAAATTGAAATGCCTCTTTTCATTCCAAAATACTAATTTTTTGGTTTGTATAATTTTGTATTGACAAATGTCTGAAAGGACGATGCGGTTTTTTAATAAAAATGTACTTCTTGAAACACCGTTGGAACTTTGAGACAATTTGGATAATCCTCTTTAATTTCATCGCCAATTGGAAGTTTGTGGTCTGGATGTGAGAGATGCCACGTTGGTCGTTTATTCTTTCACGGTGTGCACATTGTGCAGTATTAAATTCACATTCAAAATAGATTATATTTTTTTTCAAAAATGCATCTCTTGGAAAACAGGATTTCGTAATGTTGATAATTAGAGTAAATATAGAATATTCGATCTCTTTAAAACCATATTCTATTACGAATAAAAGTACTTCAGAATTTGCACATATATTTCTGATATTTCATTACTTGTCTTTCCTGTATTATCTCCATTCGAGTGCGTAGTCTCTTGCTTTTTGCACTTTTGTTCCTTGCAGAATGTACAGTGGCGTTATTTTCCTTCGCCAGGAACACTGGACAATGTCAGGAGCTCTGGAGAGGCGCGTGTGGCACTAGGGTGGACATAATCAATGGACAACCCTGAGTTGCGCCTGGGCGAGACATTTTCTCTGAGCCACGCCCAATCCGCACTACTGACTTTCAATATCACCCCTCGTACGATCACGTACGAAACCACATAATTAATTAAATAGTTTATAAATTGTTTTTTGGAAACTTCAGAACAACTTATCTCCCCAAAAGTCACAAATAAATAGAAATGGCTATTATAAAAATACTCTGCATCCAACTATAAAAATCATATTACTTAACTAGAGCATTTTAAGAAGTTCCAATAATGTTGATCGAATATTCGGAGACAATAGTTGTATCAAATTTTCTGATAATTTAAAAGCATTGTCACGTGTATATCATGAAAAAGTTAATATGATGTTTTGACCTGTGGGCTATATGAATATGATCGTATGTTTTTTTGTTGTTGTAAGTGTTCCGTCCTGTTAAGAATTCATATAAGTCGTTACGTAATGTAGTAACGTAAGTAAGTAACGAACTACCAAAACTGAATAATATTAGTGTGAAAAAAATCAAAACCTCATGTGATTCACGATACAAGTTTATATATTTTTCGACAAATTAATGGTACTATTTCAACATTTAGTAGAACATATAAAATGTCAAGGGACTATATAACGTAAAACTTACACATTCCTAAACAATTCAACACGAATTATATTTTACTAGACGTATTGCTCTAACATTTGTTCTCGTAAAAATTGAGAGGTATTATGAAGTGAAGGCACAATATATTAAAGTTTAAATTGCATATAAGGGTTTAAAATAATTCGCGTTGGCGAAACTGTTATTCTACTGAATCTGGGTGCAAACAGATCTCGAAATCAGTTAAAGAAAACATGAACTAGAAATGGAGAGGCGTTTCCGGGAACCTAGATAACTCGTCATTTACCATACATAGCACACAAATCAATGTTATCTTGAGTATTGAACCGAAAGAAGTGGCAAAGTGCATCAACTGATGTCACCGCAGTGCCTCTGACCGAGAGGTCCTTGGTTGCAGTCCCGACGGTGGCAAGATTTTCGACATTCGCTTGTCAGCTAGGTCGAATTGATTTGCTGTCTAGAAGAGAATTCTAGAGGCCGACTGCTGTGATGGGTGGTTTTCTGTGGTTTCTTTGATCAACACCAGGCGAATGCCGGAGAAGTACCCTAACCCGTTTGCCCACGGACAGCGCGCGATCTCTCCTTCCACATCCTTTTTTTACCCTGTCTCCATACTCACACACACACACACACACACACACACACGCGCGCGCGCTTACATGCACTACACTGCGCCGCATGTCCGGGGAAATGCCCCGCAAACCCACGTGTAGTTCGGCGCCGGATTTATTTCTAAAACTTACATAAATGCCGACCTGGATGGCCGAGGTGGCTAAGAGCAGATTCGAGTAACGCCTTGAGCGTGGTTGCTGAGAAGCCCAGATCCGAGGGCCCAGCGTGTGCGTTGGTGGAATGTGCGCCCCGCTGGGTCGCCGAGGGTAAGCGGCTGTTGGCCGGATGAAGCCTGAGGGGAAAGTGGGCGTGGGCGTGCGCAGGTGGCCTGGCACCGCAACGACGAGCGCGTGCTGGAGGGCGAGCGCTTCGCTTTCCTGCACGAGGGCCACTTCTTCTGCGTGGACGTGGCGCCCGTCGTGGTGGAGGACGGCGGCCGCTGGACGTGCATGGCGGAGAACGCGGCTGGCCGCTCCTCGTGCTCCTCCTACCTCAACGTGCTCGGTGAGTCCGCGCAACGCCTCTCAGGACATGTCGGTAGCAATAGGTGTGAAGGATGCTTTGTACACATTGAATTCTAACTCAGTAACATGTCTCATCGTAAATAACATTTAATTTTTGAAACATATTGCCGACGTCCCAACACGGTGACAGGATGATAATTGAAAATTCGAGGCAACGTTATGATAAACCATATTTCACAAATGCAAAATAAATATCCTAGAAAGCCACAAGAGCAAACATAATCCAAACTCATTAAAAAGATGTTCATAAAACTAAAATGTGAATACAGAAATCCAACCCTGCGTATTCAGAAACTGAAAACACGAATGCCTATACTACTTCCTAAAACACAACTTACTAGTTTTTCCTGCTACCTGGCCCTCTCAACTAAACAAGAAAATGTTGTGTTCCCCGGCGTTGACGGGCTGCGCAGTGCCCAAGGCGTACAAGGCGCCGGAGTTCGTGGAGGAGCTGCGCGCGCTGCTCACGGAGCAGGGCACGGTGTCGCTGGAGTGCAAGGTGGTGGGCGTGCCCACGCCGGCGCTGCGCTGGTACAAGGACGGGCGCGAGATCCGCGCGGGGGATGTGTTCGCCCTGAGCGCCGACCCGGCTGACCCCACGGCGCTCGGCACCTACACCTGCGAGGCCTCCAACTGCATGGGGCGCACCTACTCGTCGTCGCGCGTGCACGTCGTGGGCAAGGGCAGCCGCGAGGGCTCGCTGCAGCCGGCCGACAGGTCAGTGGGCACGCTCTCTTATTAATTAATTAATTATTTATCTATTTATTTATTTATTTATTTATTTATTTATTTATTAGACAGTAAGAAAAAATATTGACCGGCCGTTGGAACTATCAATATTTGTTTACATCAGCTGTCCAGGTTGTTTAATATCCTTGTGGTTACCTTAAAGTATTACTCCACTAGCGAGCGAACGGCGAACCTGAGAACTAACGTACTTCGTATTAACAGCTTGAACTCTTTATTGGAGGGGGGGTTCTACTCCATTTTCGTCAAATGTTTGTATGGGGACTAATATTTGTTTCGTTTTTTATTTGTTTCTTTTATTACCTTATTTAGGTAAGATTCAAAATAGTAAAAAAATTAAAGAGAAAATTTTCCTCGGTTTCATTCTCGGCAAAAAAAAACAACAAATTATCTTGGTACACAATCTGTGGCTACTTATAAATGTTTAGAAATTCAGTCTATTAACGTCTTCCAGAATACTATAACTCGTAGTGCTAAAACAGCACTTATTTTCTCGCCCGTATTTTCAACAATATTGGGCGTAATCGTGCGTCTTTGAAGACATCTTGAAATAAGGTGTTATTAAATTTTTCGAAAATATGAATAATTTTTGCGTAATTTAGCGTGAAAAACAGGGAACTAAATTATTAGAACAATTATTTTCTCAAAAGCTGCTCCCTATTTCTTTCCTAATATTTTTTCTTTGCGGACGAAATCTCTGTATTTTCAAAAATTGCAAACACTTCAAAACTATAAAGTTAGAGATATAGATTTTTGACAATATCGGTTCCAAAAAATCAGATCTTTATAAAATATCATGTTCAATTTTTTGAAAGAACAAGAGGTGTTGATGTAGCTTATGCTTAAAATTAATGCAATTGATAAAAAAAACATTTACTTAAAAATCCCTCCAAATTTTGTGTTTCATTTTTTCCACAGATAAAACAAGGAACACTTAAAATAATTGAGCTGATCTCATTTTCGTTTGCTGGGAATCATGTGAGAGACTATTATTTTCTAAGCATCGGAAAAAGCTTCTTCGCTCGATGGGCTGCGTGCTGTAAGGGTAAAACTCACGGGGAGTTAACTCGATGGATCTAAGCTGAATCTCGGCACAGAAAAATTGATGGTCGAAAACCCTTTTGCAAGTTCATTTAGTAGTATAGTATTGCGTATCCGTTGCAAATAATGTGAGAAGGTATGTGCTGTTGTAACACCACTAGTTTGTTGTAACACATAATGAACACTTAATAAGCCGCCGTTTCTTCTGTAGAGTTTATTTCCTAATCTCAACCTCATATCTCACTCATACCATTCTCTTTATTGTTCAACCTCTTATTCAGTGTCAAATACCAATCATTGATGTACTGCGATCCTCTGCTTGTTACAAGATCGCCTGTCCTCTGGCGCCTGCACGAGGGCATTGCATGTTGTCATTTCACCTCTTATTTTTGGTTGTCTGCCAAATCTAGCTTGTTGCTCTACTGCACGTTAAATCATGCAGAAAAAGTGAGCATTTTAATAGAATTCTTATAAATCAATGCATCATAATGGATTCGTTTAATGACAGTGCATTTGCATATCACAAAGCGACAATATTCAATTTCAATTTAGGACATTAAAAAATATAAAAATATCTCTTGCTATTTATGATTTCTTGCTATTTAACACTTAATATCACCCACATTCAATATTGAAATACATTTTCATACAATTGTTCTAGTTGTACAAATAATATTTAAATGTTCAAGAAAGGAATTAAAATTAGGGAGAACAATTCGCCACAAAATGTATAATAATAATAATGATTTATATGACTTTTGACACTTACTGTAACACTAAAAATTATGTAAATCTTTGATGAGAAATTGTGATTAACAAATCTCGTAAGCTTACAATTATTTGAGTAAATGAACTAGACGAAATAATATATTTGAAAAAATATTAAAATAATCTTAATTTTTATTATTCAAACGACACTATTTTATGCATTACTCCATTTATGTTTTATGCGATACTATTTTTATGCGTTCATTACTTTTGAAATCCTGATCATTAGTACCCCTTTCTATACTATTTAATTTATTATTTCAAGAACGGCAAGAAACGTTTGTGAAGAAGCTCTCGCTCCGGAGATCCATCAGCGCTGCGAGATGCCGCTGTGACGCGATGCGAGCAGAGAGACGAAGGCGCGTTTCGCGAGGCAGTTGTCCGTCCACGACTCTTGTGTACGCATGTTCTAAATGGGTCGAGATTTCTAAGAGGTTTTTTGGAACTTATATCTTCAAATAGAAACAACTCTAATGTTACTGACACAAATAAAAATGCCCTTAAGAATAATCAGATCAACGTTCATTGAAATTTGGGTATCTGATAGTACCCTCTTTTAATTTCTAATTTCTCAGGTTAGGCCATGAACACAAAGACTTGTATCCAATTGTTCGTTCAGAATCCAATTTCACAGGCGTATCCCCAATCGTTCAATTTCATTTTTACAGTTAAAAATACAAAAACATCTCTGACTAAAAACGGATCAAAAATATTATAAAATTTACGTTCTCAAAAATATTAGTTTTCAGCGATTTTTGTGCTGCTACTTCGGAAAAATAGATAGGCTCTGAATCCTTTAAAATAAATCTTTCTTATTCAAACATCTCTATTTTTTGGACTTTCTTCATTCTGCATTCTTGCATTTGCCAACTTTGCATGCTCGTAAAATACAATGTAAGAGAAAAATTTCACATTCGAAACATATCTTGTTTTCACAAATCCTGCGGCAGTACAACTCATGTTATTCACCACTTACCTTCTTCACATACTTTTTTCTGGTGTTCCGAGAACGTTTTACCCATTCATTCAGATCAGAAAACCGATGAACATTTTTATTTGTGATAAAATGGTAATTAAACTTTTCATGGCTATGTATCACTTTATTCCAGAATAAATAAAAATGCTTTTTTAATCCATGTAGAATCAAATTATTGCCATAGTAATGTTTCTTGCGTAGTGATTTCTATATAAGTACATAATTATGTGCATATACGTAGATATCAGTAATTTTTAATTTATCGCCTTACTTCTAAAGAAACGAACGTATTATCATGGTCAGAAATTTACTATTTTTCGCGAGAAAACCCATATTAACGAGCCCAGGAAACAAAAAAGTAGATAAATCTTTTTGCGGTATGTAGACATGTTCGTAGTACATTTTTACCCTAACACGGGCGTAGTCAGAATCCATGTTTCTAAAACTGAAAAATCGATTAACGATGAAACCGTTTAGACAATGTTCTCCAACATTGGCATTCCCTGATCAATCTAGCAGAGCCCAAGGCTCTGCGAGTTTAAAAAGGATATTTTCATTCTTGGTGGTAGTTTTCATGTAGCCTAAACAAGTTCTTTAAAATAAAAATAAAATCTTCGATATTGTGATTAAACTTTGTCGTCAAGTAGCGTAATGAACACTCAAAAGATTGTTGTCTCATTTCCCTCAAGTTTCTGATTTTTTGAAAATTCCAAAAGTTTAGAATTGTTTCGATGTTTTCCTACAACTACAATGTGGAAGATAGAGATATTTCCTTCAATGAGATTTGTTGTTCAATGATAGGTTTTGAAATAAGAATAGGTAGAATTTTTCAACAATATGAGTAGTTTTTGCGTAATTTTGTGTTAAATATAGGCCATTTTACACTATTATTATCTGAAAAACAGTTCCAATTTTTTTCCTTAAATTTTCCCGTCAAATGTATATCAGGACGTAAAAATGGAGCAGGTATCATATTTGCCAAATATATTGTATTTTAGAAAATTGAGGGAAAATTTTGCAAAAGTATAATATTAAAGTTAAATATTTTTGTCTTAATCATTACATAAAATGTCATGTGCAATTTATTGAAAGTAGTAGTATTGTAATTTCCGCTTGAAATTAATGCAATGTTATAAAGAAATCATCTTCTCATAAACAGGTCCAAATATTTTTTTCAGACGTTTCCATGAAGAGAGCAAAATACACTTAAAAATGGTGCATTTCCTATTTACGTTCAACACTGAGTTTTTGAAAATTGCTAAAAGTTAGAACAAAGTGAGAAAATAAGTGCTTTTAAACTCTAGTAATTTATACTATAATATTGCCTCAATATAAAATTCATTATATACATAGTGCCATACATCTTTTTCCTCCGTAATGTGTTGTTTTCTGAGCACACGTTTGAAGCGAGGAAGGGCGCTGTCAGCAATGAGGCGGAATACATACGTAAAGGGACACAGGGTAGACTTATCCTTATTTGCCTTCCCAGGTTTAATTTTCCGAAAAGGAATGTTGCACGCGCGTTCCTATGAAGCTCGAAGTGAAACCGAAGTGAAACCGAAGTGAAGCACCTCCTCATGAGCGTGACGCATATTGCTTCAGCCGCCATGGTACACGTGACTTCCTCCGGGAGATTTCAGTACGCTATGACTCATCACCCCTATCATTCCCCAATCTCCATCAGGTTTTTCTCCAGTTTCCCTGATCCATTGAGCTAATGGTGAGATGACCCCCTGTTTTGATTCTTGACGTAAAGTTAGCTTCACTATACGCACGTTTTGTTCAAGTCTCCTTTTGCTTGTAATGGTAAGAGTGGAGGTAAGGACGAGTTGCTATTTTGTTAGCAATGCAGAAAATTCATACTTGCAATTCGTGTACCGATGCAAATAAGTTTTCTATAACTCAGAAACGAAAATGACTATTTTTCAAATATTGCTAATCTTACGATTTTTACAATTTATGTTTAAAATTTATTTATTTATTTTATTTATTTATGTTAAACTTTTACTCACCTTTCAACTACTTATAGTTCAAATGACCGGAAGGGATTCTGGAACTCAAGAAAACGTGCGCAAATAATCTTTTTCCCCCTACGTCACATAGAGTTTTAATATTTTTAACTGAATAAATCTAAATGTAAATCATCACTGTGCTTCAGTGTATTTGTGCCTTACTTCTACATGAATATTTTGAAAACCTCCACAATCACATTTATATGCTTTTCAAAGTTATAATTAGAATAGTAGTAGTAAAAGTAGTAAAAAGAGAGACTTCGATAAAATCTGTTATCGTGTTGTAGGCAGTATTTAATTTTGTTACCCTACGACACATTGGATTTCGTTATCAAAGTGACGAAAGTGTAACATATCTATTAAATATTAAAAGAATCTCTTCGAGGTTCCTGTCATCTTCCTGCCATTCCTGTAATTACAAAGGTACTTTTTTATTTTTATATTTAACGTATAAACATGTGAAAAACATGTGTGACGTAGTATGGGGGAAGATAACAATCTGTGCACGCTCTCTTGAGCTCTGCGTTATTCTTTATTATAATTGTGTTTAGTTGCCTCTGACAATAATCTGGTATTAGCTTTAATAATACGTAAAAGTAAATCACAAAATTGAATGTACCATGTAGTCATGAATAGAACTCAGGACTTAATAGAACTTTATTAAAGATTTCTGAAAAATTGTCTCCATCAAGCTATCGTTTCGTATTTTGGATGTAACACTTTTTTATTCAAATCGCTCCTTATTTAAAAGCTGTTAAACAATTGCATGACCCATTGAATTCTCGAAAGATATTTTAACATACTCCAAAGTGTTGCTTATTGAATTTTCAACGAACATTTAATTTTATGATTAATTTTTGGAAGTGAAACTAAATATATTTTTCTTTTGCAGTTTAGTGCCATCTGGACCCGCTCCCGCTTTCGTCAAAGACCTTCTACCCATCAAATGCAAAATCGGAGAACCCGTCACTCTCACATGTCAAGGTAGGTTAATCTCTCCCATCATGCGTACTGATAAGTCTTAGAGATATCGTAAGAAAAATTGTTTGCCTCTCAAAACGGTTCAAGTAAACATACATAGAAAAATACTATTAACACGCACTTTATTAATTATATATTTTAATCGTACAAAATAGATAGAACCTGCGGAATGAATTCTTCTTCTTAAAAATATTGTTTATAATGCCATTTTTATGAATTATTGCTTAAAATACTGTGAAAAAGTTGTTTATATTTTCCTGATTGAAGTATTCTTATAGTTTACAAACGTTTGTAAAAACATCTAGAAATCGTTGTTATTAACGAAAATGATTGAAACGGCTAAGTCTTTAAAAAGCAATATCAATATTCTATTTTTGAATTTCATGTTTAACGGTTCAAAATGATTGAAATTCTTTCTAACCCTAAAAATATTTCGGGAAAAATTATAAACAAAACATTAATGACGTTAAAGATTTGATGATAATACCCATATTTCATATTTTGTGAATAAGATAATGATTAGTGTGAGTGGTGACGATATTACTTTATAATTAAAAAATGGTAAATTTTATTTCATATGAAAATATTGCTTTTTAAAAATTTCATTACCTGAACCGGACAATCTTCTGTAGGTCGATTGCTGATGTCAGCTTTCACATTTGCTATGCCTATTAATTGATGATATTTACAGCTATTGTGGAGGTGTATATTAGTGATATACTTATATATAAAAAGTATTATGGAATGAGCGTTTATGAACATGTATTTTGACATTTTAATAGGATAAGGTACATTTCCAGATGTGAATGGTTTCTGTAAATGGTTAGGGAATTCAGCCTAAACTGTGATGAAGTTCGAAAGTAACCTTTTTAATGTACAGCCAATCATAACTATGACAGATGGCCGCCTAGTATGACAAGCTTTGCTCTCGACGTCGCGAGCAATAATCCTCTGCCAAGATTATAATTTTATAGTTGAGATTATTATTCAAAAGGAATTTATCCCATTAGCACTGTTGTATATGCTACACATTACAAAATTATGCTTTAAAATGATGATTATCCTGCGGCGTGGTAACGCAGGCGCTGACTTTTGCCCTCCGAGTGATCCGAGACGGGCAGCGCCCGAGCGACGCTCCGAGCGACGCTCCTCCTACGCCCTGCGCCGTTCGTCGCCTGTGCGAGGGCCGTCGGATTAGCGGGCCTTTGAGCTGTCATCCCAGCTACAGAGCGCGGTTCGCGCGGCTAAACACGTTTTTGGACATTTCTTAGAATCGTGTGTCCGGGTCTGAAACAAATCATCAATACCCATTCCCCAGCAGGAGATGAAGAAGGGAAGGGGAAGGGGAAGGGCAAGGGGTCCAAGTGGGAGGGACGAGCTCCGAAAGGGCGTTCATGTGGCCTTGTGTACGTTGTCGCCAGTGAGGGTGCCGCCCTGGCCAAAGGCCATCGCGTGGTACAACCGAGAAGGCCGTGTCGAAGCCAGCGAAAAGTACCACGTCATGGAGGACGGGCTGGGCGGCTACATGGTGGAGATCAACCCCGTGGAGGCCGTGGACGAGGGCGAGTGGAAGTGCGTGGCCACGAGCAACGAAGGCGCCGCCGGCATCTCCACCACGCACGTCCAGGTGGCCTGTGAGTATTCATTCATTTATTTATTTGTTAAATCACTTCATTTATTTATTGGAATGTATTTTATCTAATTTTCAGTAAAACTCTAGAAACTTGTTAATTGACCCACTCGCATCATTGGTTGTATTGTGGGCAATTTTCGAAATTCACACTCCATGATGTCTAATTGCTACCAACTATATTTTCACTTCTATGTTCATTGACAAGGATAAACACAAGAACGGTCTCAGTCATACCATTTATCCATTACGTGGGCAATTCCATGCCTAATCTAATACGGCAATAAGAGCAAGACAGCCTATGGTTTATGAGTACTGTACTTATTGTCCAGTTGCAAAGCCAGGAACATTTTCTCACTCAAGCATATTTTCGGTACGAGTTCTTTACCTACACATGTAATTTGATTTAAAAGCTTGTAACAATGAAAGTTTACTTACGAAATACGTAAGATATTCTTTGGGAATAATGTTGCTGCGGATCTAAGTGATATAATTGTACACTTACAATATTCATAATTAAATCATGAATTCTTGGTAAATAATTAACAAATCACAAAATAATGAGAGTAAATGCACAAAATATAGAGAACATGCTCGTAAATGTCGATTATACTTTCTTGGACATTCTTGAACTCAAAATATAATTCTAATTACAAATCTACGAACTAATGCCCTGTAAACGTGGGATTTAAAGGGTTTGAAAGTTTTTCACGTATTATCATATATTTCCTGAACGAATGTTGGTTATCTTTTTAAAATTTACTCTAACATTCTAATTATTGTCCATATTATATCATGATATCAATATACGTACGGAATTTTCATTCCCTTTACTCTGGGATACCTATTCTTTGTGAGTCTTTTATGTCACACTTTTGCATACCTGTTAATATTTTCAAGTAAAACTATAATGTCTTTGGATGATTAGAGTGTAAATTCTCATTTCAATAAATTTCCTTCTCTTAATAAATTCCTTTATTGGGAATGTGTCGTATTTGCTTGTAAATACAGTAATCCTAATTCACTCTATTCTATGCAAATGTGTATTATGTGCTATGGCCCAGTAATTTTGAGTTCACGAACCACTATTATGAAATATGAGGGAACATTTGTTTAGGATAATACTCCGAAAGGTGACATATTAGCATGTACTTTGATTTTGTTGTTTAATTCATATGTAATGATTGTTGTTGCAGATCCCAAGAGTTATCGCAAACCCCGTTTCCTGGAAAGCCTCAAAGCTATCCTCACCGAGGAGGGGCTCGTGTCCTTCGAGTGCAAAGTGGTGGGGTCGCCGACGCCACAGTTACGCTGGTTCAAGGACGGACAAGAACTCAGGCCAGGAGACGTGTATCAGTTGACAGGCACCAACACACTGGGTGAGTTATGGAGAGAGTCATCAATATTTATCACACTTCTTCAGGATCCTCCCCCCCCCCAGATCAGCCCTATTGGCAGGTTTACACGTGGTGTCAGCTCTATTATTCATTCACTCTAACAAAAAACCTGTAAACAAATTGGAGAAATCTTTGCGCCCCACTACGCTAGTGACTTGACAACTCCTAGCGCACTACTTTTGATTATGTGAGCAGCATACCCCTCCAACTCAAATTGAATAAGAGCTGTCATGAAAATGTCATGCTCATGCAACTATTTTACTTACGATCAGTCTGCTTCAGAAAAGAAAATGAGGTCTTTCCTATTCTGAATAATACTTCTTCTCCCTCTTCTTTGAAACCCAAAACCGGATGTCATTAATTCGTATAAATTGGTTCGCGTTACATTCGGATCCCTGTTCACAAGCTGCAACAATTTCGCAAGAGTTGGTGATTTGATTTGTTTCTCCTTGCCCCTTGAGAGTGAGGTCTTTCCAGAGTTTCATTACGCTGGAAAAGAATATTCCTGGTAACTCTGCCGCAAATTCAGCTATTTGTTTCACTGGTAACAACGGATTCCTATGCAATAACGTATTGAAAACGATCAGAAAGAGGCGCTTTTCACCACATCGCACATTTTACACTCTTGTGTTTAATTACAGAAGGGTCAGCCACCCTCTCAGACATTCTTAAACGACCTGAATACACCCACGCGTCTCACCCATGTCAGTCAGCACGTTCGTGGGCTGAGCTATCAGAGGGCCATAATCTTATTGCCCAACTACACGTATACAGTTCAAAAAGATCTCCTTTTCCGAAACCGTTGCAATACTTTTCAGGCAAGGGTAATGAAACTTAGGATGGAAGATAAATGATATCTTTTTTAGAGAACTATGAAGACAGGTTCCCGACAACAGCAGAGCGCATACTTCAAACCAATGAGAATCATTCAAACGCACGTGCATTTGTTTACATCAGTTCAGTTTTTTCTTAACGTGAACTGATAATATAGAGTATTTTCCTATCCTTAATTATTCTATTGATGAGGGTATATTTTTGAATCAGTTACTGTTTTCACCCACCATCTGGTATCTTCTTTCCTCTCTACTTCTTTTTCTTTCCTCATTCTCCCCAAAGCAGCAATCAACGAACAGGGGCTTCTCAACCGTGTCCTATCCAATTTATGGTCCATTTGATGACCTGTCAAAGTGATCTCTTTTCATTTACTGTGTAATCATTTGTGTCACTTGCTCTCTACAAATTGGTTTTTCAATCCTTCTCCAAACCCACATTTTCAATGAATGAAGAATTTTCTCTTTTTCCTTTCTCAGAATCCAGGTTTTATTTTAATAGAGAGCTATATTCCACGCAAAACCTTTTTTTTGTCATTTGAGATTGCTTCAATATCTAGGTCATTAGTGACCACTAATACATTTAACGGTATGGTAGCTCTGAAGATGACTTGATATGGTGATTATAGGGGGGGGGGAGGATGACCACAAATACAACTATGCCCGAGACGGGACTCGAACTCGCGACCCTTTGGCACTACTGCATAATCTCGGCTATCCGGACTGGCAAAGTAGTATTTGTTCACTCCAAGAGTGTAGAGAATTTGTGATTTTGTAAACTTTTAAGCAATGTAATAAATATAAACTCGTACTTTTCGCTATTGACACAGGCACTGGATAAAATTAAAGCATTATATTTTTTCTACATATTACAATAAATATGCCTACACATTACAATCGAGAATGTGTACCACTGATTCAGCAAACTATGTAAAATGTGAATTAAACAATACTCTAAGAATTCCCGTTATGTTACGGAGACCAAAATTCGTCAGGTGTTATGGCTATAATTTTACCATATTGTTTTATAGTTTTGGCGTGCCCTAAGGTGTTGTTTATATTGATGTAAAAGTTGATGCTTATTTAACTTTATATTATTTATTTATTTTCCCGACATATTATACTAATTTCTGCCTCGGAATGGTCATAATAAATCCACTTCTTGGGAAATATATAGGTGTATCTACTCCGTGATCTTGTTCACGTATGTCACGATGATTTTACAAAAATTGTGAATTTCTATATGCATTTTGGGGAATGATATAAATTGTGGAAATCATTTAGCTGTTGTAAAAATGTGATTTCAAATTTTTCTTTCCTCGATGACAGCTCGATGACAGGTGCTAATGTTCACTCGTTCGCTTTTCCGCCGTAGGGTCCTACTCGTGCATCGCGCGCAACTGCATGGGAGAGGCCACCAGCTCCGCCGAGCTCACCGTCGAAGACATCCAGAGCCAGCTCAACGAGGAGGAGCGCCTCCAGTTGTTCACCGAGAACCAGCCGCCCAAGTTCGTGCAAGGCCTCAAGAGCGGCGAGGGCCGAATCGGCGAAGACTTCCGACTCACCGTGCAAGGTGCTTCTTTCTTTAACGTCAAATAGAGACTGGGGGAAGGGAGCGAACTGCTCCATTTACTGGCCAGAAACAAAGCAAGGGACAACCTCAGAATTTCCTCATTCAATCAAGAGGATTTCGGTGAACAATTCGCTCGAGATAGAGACTTAATACCTTTAAAATAGTTGTACTAAAGATATTTCTTTTTTTTTCGAATTATACAATGGTAAAAATTAATATCACATTTCTCTAAAGTAATATTTTTTTGTTTTCGGTTGTGGGTTTGTTTTCTATTTTTTTACCGATTACCTACGTTTTGAAAATCATTCAATAAAAAAGGTATCGTTAGCCCGCTTTCAGACTTCGCGCTGTACCGTGAACATCGCCGTGGTGTGTATTCCTGTTATCACCATTCCAGTTCATCAAACGCTGCCGCTGAAACAGTTCGTGAAAATTCGCTACACGGAGAATTTTTTATGAATGAAGACGAAATGTTGATGTATAGGTATTGTTTATATATAAAACGTATGGTGCTAATATAAATAATAGTGCTACACGAGAACAAACCTTTTCTCATTATTTGTAACGGTCGCTTAAAATTATGGGAAAATATTCTTAAAAATATTTAATAACATTATTTAAGGATATAGTAATTTTGATTAACAATTGCCAACAAAAATAACTACCTTTAATTGTTGTTGAAGGAAGAAATTTAAACGTTCGCAATATGTAAAATTGACAGAAATCGACGACAATGCCCTGCGTAATTTTGAAAAGCGAACTTGGCTCTATTGGGTGAAAGCGCGGGACGAACTGGAACGTGGACGGCGTGCGCCGCCCGGGCGGAAAGCGCCTTTACTTGCATTTCTCGCGCAGGAAGAGGCCAAAAAGTTCTTCTTGATTGATTTATTTTCTCTCTTCATTCTATTTTTTATCTCTGTCTGGAATCATGATTTCATGTAACTCAAATATCTACATCGAGAACAATGTATTTAATTCCTAATAAATATAGCATATATAATAAATTATATAATATATATATATATATATATAGAACTCCTAAGAAAGAGTGCAATAATTAAGAATCGTTATTGCTCTCAAACGGAGGAGTTTATTAGTTAGTTGAGATCAAGAGAAACGTAATTAAGGGAAACCAGTGGTGTTAAAAGTGATGGAAATAGCGTTTTATTTTTCAATGTCGTGCCTTCTTGAAGCTTCTATTTAAAACGCTCGCTTTCTCTTGAAACACGGACTGCTACTCAGAGAAATAAACATGTGTAGTTTCAACGTGGTAAAATCATCTGTTAATTTATTTGAGCCAATTGTTGTATCTCCCTATGAAATTCCAGTAATAATGCTATTCCAGTAATTTTGCAAATGGGATTAGTGAAGATTTTACCTTACTGTACACGTCCATATCATTTATTAACATTTTATTACTGTAGAACTCTAATTATTCAATGTTCAAATAGCCCGATTTTCGATTATCCAAATCGATTTTGTTACAAAAAGGGAAAAAGTCAAAATTGAAAAAAATTAAACCTGTGCAGGGACGATATTTTTTGTTAATCATACAGTACATTTCCTACATTTGTTCTTAAGTTCATGAATTTTAAAATTTTTCTGTGTCGAATTTAATTTCTAAGGTCCATCCAGCCATCGGAATTTACTATAACAGAATGTCCGATTTCCGTCCAATTGGGATAATTGCAATTCTGATGTATGTAATTGCTAATTACATGATCGTACTATTGAGCTGTAATGCGTTTTCTTCCAGTGAGCATTTCACCTGAGCCCACAGTAGCGTGGTATCGAGACGACGAGAACGTGGTGGACAGCGACCGCTACCACTTATCTCGGGAGCATCTTGGCACGTGCCATTTGGACATCCGACCGCTGGAAATCGCGGACCAGGTGAGCATTGTGCGGGAACCTCGCGCCTCTGCCCCTTGCAGTCCGCGAGTCGCCTTGGAAATCGAGCTCTCCGGTGATATTTCTTTGGGGGAGGTAGGAGGAGCTGCGTTATTTACAGGCGACGTTTGCATGACGCTTGTAAATAAAAAGAAATTATGTCGTTATTTTTATATCTGATTGACCGTTTTCTGAGAGAAACCTCTGAGAACGTCTGATTCTCACAATTTTTTGTTTCAAGTTGTCACATTGTAACCTAATATTAACACTGTCTTAATAACTAATGACTTGTAGCAGCAAAAATGTTTCTGAACAAAACCTGAATAAATGGCTTTCCAAAAAGTAGACACACATTGCTCATGAACAACAAATAAAATACGCTTGTAGAACACTATTATATTTACAATATTTAACGAAAACATTCTTCGTAAATACAGCAATAATATATAGTATATTCTTGGGAAAATGTTAATGGTTTCGATGGTCAGTTAATAAGTTCTATTTTTTTTCTGACGTTTGGAACTGTAATGTTTTATTAATGGATTATTTATTCTACAAACTTGATCAGGGGAACATTACAGTTCCAATGAAGGCACACTAGATATCCGGAATATTGACATACTTATTTAAAATTATTTGACCAACCACCTATTAAAATTTCCCATGCATTTAATGTGATTGTGAATTCAAGACGAACAACAATATAGTACAAAGAGATAAACAATGCAGTCACTTTACAAACAACACTTATAAAGTATATTGCTGCTTCTTAACGGAACATGTGAATAGAAAATATTTATTGGCGGGCGGGCTCTTCCTTGGAGACTTGCTATCACATGACGTTAGGTGTGTCGAAGGAAGTGACTTGTTGAGTATGAGAATTCAGTCGCTACTCGTGTGATAATAGGCGGCGGGTGTCTACCAAAACCCATCGACACTACTCACATGGCCAATGACTTCATAGTTTTCTTTTAGTTTCTGTTCGCATCGGATATTTATTGTGTAGATTAATCGATACAGATTAATACTTGTGTACGTCTAACCCTAGTTTGTGTCCTTATAGTCAACTCTATTGAATCCTCTATTGAATTCTATATTAACAACATAATTTTAATAAAATCAATGGATCAGGGACGGTATTAATTACAAATCTTGAATTTTGCTAATGTGTAAAGATTCAGACGCAACTTGATTCTTCTTGGCAAATAAATTATTATGTCACAGGCGGAGTGGAAATGCGTCGCAACGAACGAATTTGGTCACAGTGTGACGTCTTGCTTTCTCAAGCTTCACATTCCGAAGCATTACAAGAAGCCTCGTTTCTTGGAATGTCTGCGGGCCATATTATCAGAGGAAGGAGCCGTCAACTTAGAATGCAAGGTAAGTTGCAATGTGTTTTTTGACTATTCAAATTAATACAAATAAATCAATTATTAAAATGTTGAATAGTGCAACAAGTAAATATGTTTTATCGAAATTGGAATTTTAAATGCAAAGTGCACCGTATTTTCTATAATGAGCTTTATTACATCACATCCCTAAAGCGAAAGGTTAAATAAATTCTTCTCACTCTTGAAGTGCAAAGTTTACCACTAGTTTTGTGATGGTAATTTTTTTCACAGGGGAGTATAAAACAAAATTTAAGACACTTGGGTGTTAATACAACTTTAACTCTCCATAGGGAGCTCAAATTAATAAACTTGTTCCAAAATGAAACAATAGCATCTTAAGTACTGAAAGAACTATATTAATTGTCATTCTTGATTTAAGTTTTAATTACTGTTGAAAGTTCTGTAAAATCATGCATGAACACATCACATAAACGCTTGTATTCGAGAGCATTCAAAGCTATATGATGCTAATATCAATGTTAATATGCAAGCTGATATGCTAATAGCAATGCTAATATCAAAGTCACATGCTATGTATTAATGCAATTTATACAAACGCAGAAGAAAAACTATAATGAATGATTTGGATTCAGTATTCATCATAATTTTCTATTAAAATAATTTTGCAAATTAACACGAAGTTATTGAGCAGCCAAATACTAAATTTTGAGACTACAGCAGTAACAGTACTACTAAACCTGAAATTAAGTGTCTTTATTTATTCTTACTCAGTTTTATTACTACAACTGCACAAAGTAAATGAAAAAATGTATATAACATGGGATTACACGGAATTTTATTGTATAAATAACTTTCTAGAAACTTCTATGTTTTGTAAAGGACGCAGTGTGATTAGTAGACATATCTTCACTTTTTGAGTTCTGTATAAGAGAAATATTTATTTTCATTCAGAGATACTCAAATTTCACCAAAATGATTACAGTATTTAATGAAATCAATTGTAATGTAAGAGGGCTGCTTCTCCGTTTTCCATTACGTGATTTGCAACTATGTCATTTTTTAGTTTCATAAATAGCCAAGTGATAGCGATTGAATTTAAATTCAATGCTTGTTTTAAAGGACCTAGAGAAAACGTCCCAAGGCCCTCCTGCGAAGCGAGTGATTTTGGAGTCGTGGCCCTTTTGCATTAGGGGTGCGATATTTTATGATATACTCTTGGATGTATTTCAACGAAGGAACCATTTGCGAGGGCTAGGTTTCTAAGCCCATCTTTGTGAGTGCCTTTGCTGTTCTGATGGTGCGCACAAGCCGCGTGCTTCTGCAGGTAATCGGGGTGCCTCAGCCAGTGCTGCGGTGGTACAAAGACGGCGAGGAGTTGAAACCCGGGGACATCCACCGCATCATCTCCGGCCAAGACGGGACCTGCTGCCTGGGCACATACACGTGCGAGGCCCGAAACTGCATGGGCACCGTGGCCAGCTCTGCGTCCCTCCTCGGCTTCGAGGGTGAGAGCCGTGGACTCCTCTCTTCCCTTCTATTGCGTTGACCTATTGCCTTCATTCTCCTTGATTCTTTCCTCTCCCCTCTCAGTGGCCTCCCACGTGTTATAAGTATTGTGGGGACCTGGAGCCGAACAGAGCCATTACGAGTGTACCTTTCCGCTTTCTGGAGCGGACTGTTGTCAATCGCAGGGAACGAGGGAGATTCAAATATAAGTGTATGTAATTTTATCAACTCATTTTATCTACTCAACTCTCTACAAGTTTGGTTGACGAAATGCTTGCGATACGGACGTATATTGATTTACAATATTGTGTACAGTTTCGGAGTTATATTATTATACTACATTTAAACATTTTATAGTAGATTTTAGCCAGTCAAAGATGACATGGGAATGCCTCAAACAATAAGTAAATACGACAAAGTCACAACCTATTGATCAACTTGATGTGCAGACCATCACAATACTTCTTTGGATTCAGATGCAAAAAATATAGAAGCAAACATACCAGAAGCATCATAATATGTGTTCACCTACGAGACTTTTAAAAAATTTATATTTCTTGTATTTATTATATTACATTTTTCATTTTCCTCCCAGATTTCTGAAATCCTTATGTGGCTCTTAAACATGTCTTAGTCTTTCACCAAATAGGAAAGATTCGTTTCTCTTGAACATTTCCCTTCAGTTTCATGACAATCTTTAGGATGAATACCTTATTCTTTAAATCTTAAACATTGCTTTCAATTTCGAAAATTTCACTGCAAAATATGTTTTGTAAATATTTATTTTCATTTGCGTGGGTATTATTGCTATAATTAGTTGATGTGAGGGACCAAATTATACATTTTGGGGACAATAGTGTAAAAAGAAGCCTCTTTGATTGCGGTATACTGTGGAGAAGCACGCAAAATTGAAATAAACAAGCAGGGTCTGAGAAAAGTGGTTGAATCGTCTATACTCACAGCACAGGAATACATAATCGATGACCTAAAACCTAAACCCGAACTAAAAGCAATTACGCGTGATAACTGTCCAATGTAGTTGGTTCTACTGTATAACCCTTACCCTCCTTCATAGGTTCTTAATAATTATTATACAATAAATTTAAGTTAGAAAAATAATAGGCGCTAGAAGCCCCACGTAATAGATTTTAACAATTCATTTTTGCCTGATTTTAATGTGCACAAACTTATATTCTTGTGGAATGGTTGGAAGATATCCATACTTATTTCATATTTGTTGATCCTGCATTAAGTCGGAATTCATTAATTCAATACTTTCATTGAAGCGAAGAACTACATCAAAGGACAGTGGGTTTAGATACAAGAAAAGACGTAGGACATGGCCTGTGTCCTGACGCATTCGTTACGTAAGTGCTTCGAAATTATCCCAGAGGGTTGGAATAGGAGCAGTAATGTGTTTGTTGGTAGGAAATAGAGGAGGTGCGCAGAGATTTATGACAGACTTCGCTAAGAATAGTCCGAGCGTCATTTCATTGATATTTTTATTTTATTTTCTAATTGAAATAAAGATATATTTAATTGCTAACTTCGATTATTGTTTTACAGTAGACCTAATTCTCTCAAATTCAAAGCACGGATTGTTTTAGAACAGTATACATTCATATACAAATATTTCATTGGATACCTAACTATTTAAACATACTGATGCTCTTTCAATAGTGAAAAAATGAAGTATAGTTTCCTACATTTTAATTTTAAATCTGTAGAGATTTCTAAAATAATTAATTTTCAATTTATTAGGCAAATCGAAAACAGATCTCTATGGCGTTTTTATTCGAAAGATGCTTCAGGATCATCCCCAATTTTCTCTGAACTTTTTATTAAAATATTATTGGTGTGTTAAAAATAAAGAAAAACATGGGATTTATAAAATCCTTCATTGTAGTCGAATGTGAACTCTTTCCATAGAGGTAAATATAATTACCTATATTCTATATTACTGTAGCAATAATACAAAAAGTACCCAAAAATGTTTAAGGGTTCGGTTATTTCAAAGATCACATCATGGATAATTTTTTAATGTCATGTTGAAGGTATTTCTATGGATTACCCAAACGCACAGAGTCGTCACGGAGAGAATCACCCTAATATTCACTTCCTGAGCTGTTATATTTTTAGCACGTGCGGCGATAACGGCTATGCACCACTGTGCTTCCGCCCTCCGGCGGGCCTCGGCGTGAACACTCGCTATCGCTCTCTTCCGTGGAGAGGGCTGGCGGAGTGCCTTGGGGGGGGGGCACACCGCCCGCCACGTCTCTGGATCGCCCGTTGATACGTGCTCTTGGCCATCTGGGAAAGCTCCAACCCCTGGCCTCTTCGAGAGGCAAAGGATCTTTAGGGAAAGCAGTTTATTTCAGTGCTATTTTTATCGGAAACCTGTATCAGATAATATTTTTTTATGTTCCTCCCAAGAGTTCACTTCTGTGTTTGTAATATACTTGTTATATTTCTGTTCGACATGCTGGCTTTCTCTGTTGACAACCCAAAGGGTACGTGTTGTCTTGCTTTGTCATTGGTGTTTATACTACGCTATTGAGACAGGTTCTGCATTGCTTCTTAACCTGGCATATTATTCAGTATTATAAATGTGTTTTTTATTTACAAAAAAATTATTATGTTACATACGTAGAGAAAAAATCCAAAGTTTCCCTGTAACATTATCAAATGATCGTTGAATTTGAAAGAATAAATGTTTTGTAATCACATTATTGCACCCCTTATTGATAAGTTACTAGTTATAATACACTTTTTTTAAACCAACTTTTAATTCTAGAATGACCCTTTTAGTTGAAGTTGGGACTAATATATATTTATTTAAGTGACTATGGATTTTTCCTTTCTTGCATACAACCGCGGCGCAAAACGGCGATTTTTTGGAAGAAAAACACGTGTCAATGACCCCTGATACCAAAAGTCGGACAGACATTTTCCGTGAGTTTTTCGTTCTCAAGAACGTCCAAAACGTGAATCCTGCTTTCATTTATATGGGATTAGGATTTATCCTCTTTTTCGTAACAAGATCTGAGCAAAATATATTTTGAAAAATTGTCGATTTCTGCCGCAGCCTACAATTCATTTTCTTTACTACGTTAGTACGTGCAAAAGCGAGAAATAAAACCTGCTGTTCGAAAACACAGCCTTCATATTGCAAGCGGGCGGCCTTTAACATGGAGACTCACTGTCGCATGACATTAACTGTATTGTAGGAACTGACATACTGAGTATGAGAATTCTGCCGGCATAACAATAGATGGAATAACTAGCAAATAACTGAATTTTCAGTCAAAATCGAAGTCATCAAATTGTTTTTGGACTTTGCCTTAATTCTTGGGTCGGTAACAAAATCATAGCCACCTCTCACATGGCCGCAATCTACATTGTTTTCTTTTAATATAGTTTCAGTAATATACTTGAAAGTATGGGATATGCTGACCCTTGCGTCATTTGGAGCAATTACAATTTGCACCCATATAAATTAACTTGAAATAAGTTTTTAAAAAAATGTGTGTGGTGAAAATATGTATTTTTTATTTTAACGTCAAAACCAGTTGCAACTTGTGTGAAGTACTGTCGAGAGAAGTACAATTAATAATAGAAATTATTTTCGAATGCGTTGTGATTAATTTATAGCCGCTGATGATAGGCAACCTCCTATGTGAGAAACAAAATTTTACAGAAGGTAAAACACTTTTTGGATTTAATAATGTACAGTTGGCTAAGTTTAGGCAATCTACACTTCTGTATAATTATTAAATGTCTATTTATTGCAATACTGTTTCTGAAAAAAACTTACGAAAACCTCCCATGTAGCTCCTACGACATACGAGATATTCTATTGTGGTCAAATTGTCTGTCCGCAGACCGCCTGCTGGGCAAGGGCGGCGCGCGCGTGGGCGAGCCCGGGGGCGCAGCGGCGCCGCCCGGCGCGGGCCACCCCATCGCGCGCAACCCGTCGCTCTCCACCATCCACGAGGAGCGCACGTCGCAGATGTACGAGCCGGCCACCGAGCGCTCCATCACGGCCGAGGAGCGGCCCGAGATCTCCTTCTCCTTCGACGGCCGCGAGGTGTCCGTGTCGCTGTACGAGACGCCCGACCTCACCGAGGAGGAGGCCCTGCAGGTGGTGGAGATGTACGCCGAGCAGCTCTCGGAGCACGTCTCCGGTGAGCACTTGCTGCGGGTGCGCTGTGCGCGCGAGGCGTATTCGGAGATTTAGATTGATTGAGTCAAAAAACAGTAAAAACTGCAGGTGAAGATCGTCCGCGCACGTTTTCATCAGTTCTTGAATCCCTTCCAGTCATTTTAACTTTAAATAGTCGAAAGATGAGTAAAAGTTTAAAAGAAATAAATAAAAATACATTTTAAAAAGTTCGACATTAGCAATATTTGAAAAAACTAGACATGTTTGCTCCCGAGTTATAGAAAACGTATTTGCATCGGTACACGAATTGCAAATAAGATTTTTCTGCATTGCCAACAAAATAGTAACTCGCCTTTACCTCTACTCCTACCATTACAAACAAAACGAAAGTACAACAAACGGTGCGCTTAGTAAAGCTACATTTACGTCCAGAAGCAAAATAAGGGGCCATCTCAGCATTTGCTCAATGGATCAGGGAAACTGTACAAAACCTGATCGAGAGGGGGTATTAAAAACGGAATTAAATAATTACACATATCGGCTGAGTTTAGCTCAGGGTTCCAGTCGTGACGGCGGTGGCCTTCGACAGTAGCTAGATAGCTCGGTGATTTCCGCTGCTGTTTGGAGTCGGCGCCCCTGTGCGGAGTGTTCCGTGTTTTTCCCATCAATAGCAGCGGAATGCCGGAGAAGTACCTAATAAAGAGACCGTGGACCTCGCACAATTTTTCATTTTTCTTCCTTGTTCTATCCTTACCCCTTACACACGCTCAGATGCACTACACTAACGCACACGTCGGGGAACCAGTTCAGAGCTTAGAGCTCGTTCCAGCTGGGTCGTGTGGGGTGCGTTTTTAATTGCGACATTTGTATAAAAATATTTAAGTGGGGCAGTAATATTACAATAATGAAGGAATGATGCAAGAAGTTAATTCACTAACTCAATTTGGAATATTATTGACCAACTTAATTTTCTTCGCATTGCTTTTAATATTATTATCATCAGTGTTTTTATTTTCCACATTAGCATCCGCCACTGAAGACAAATTTAGATAAAAATGTCAATTAGCACGTGACTCTAAATATTTAGACAACTTCTGAACATTTCTTTGTGGTAAAAATGTGATTCTCCTTTAAACTTCTTTGCTTTTACTACATCCTCTTTCCTCTGTTTCTTTGGTTTACATCTCTTCCATTCTGTTCTTTCTACATCTGAAGTAGAATCTATTTCTTAGGTGTTACTTTTTCATTTGCTTGCTCAGATTCACAACACAAGGACGTAAATGCCACAAGAACAGATTATATGCTATCACCAAACATTCAGGGCAAAAATACTTGTTATGGAGAATAACCACATTCACAAAACAAATGATCACCCTTTGTAGATTGACATAATATCTCCTTGAAAAATAACCACGGAGAAAACTTATATTCAAAGGAAAATGGTTATTTTACCAAAAAACCCTTGACTATGGTCTTTACATCAAGACCGCTTAAATTTTCGGAGCTAAGAACTACGGACAGGGGCTGATTTTGTTCAAAACAACACATCAAATGACGTCTATGAAATTCAAATAACATTTGTAATATATCAGAATATCTCTTTTAGACTAAAGTTGTTGTTTTTTTAATTTAAATTAAACTCGTACCAGATACCTACCATATTAACACATAGACACACATTAAAATAAATATCAAATTCAATACGTCAAAAATAATTCAAATTCAAATACGTCAAACATAAATTATATAAAAGAGTAGAATGGCTAAAAGATGAAGACAATGGTTCAAATCAATGATTGAAGGTACGTTTAAATTAAAGACTCATTTCGCCTCTATATTGTACTGAGTCTTCTTCGGATGTAAAGCTAAAAGTTCATAATCAAACTTCTTCAGTACGTATGTGGAGCTTGGTAATGTTACAGTTGTTACTCGATATATAGAATAGATGTCCAATCCATTAGAGTGTCCTATACTCCGTAATATTTAAGCAAATTTATTATTTACAAAATCATAATAATAGTTTACACTGTAACTAAATGGGGCATATCTGAGGACTGCAAAGGAGCTATGAAACGACAATGCCACAAGACTACCTATATATATATATATATATATATATATATATATATATATATATATATATATATATAAATGTATATATATAGGTATATCGCACTCAAATTACTATTTTGTCCGCAAAAAAAAGGCATTTTGACTACTTCTAGACATCCATTGTTTAAATGATTTCATACTTATTTCGATTTTTTATTCAATAAAAATGTAAATCTGGGCTCGTGAAGCTCCTACAATGCTGTATATTATTTGTATACCACGAGTCAGGAGTGGGGATTGGGGGATTGGGTGTGAAAAGTAAGCAGTCGCGATGGGTGTCCGTGTTGGTTATTTTGGGCGCCGTCCTTTTGAAATTGACTCCTTTGACGGGCGCGGGGGGGGGGGGGATAAACTCTCTCCTCTTCGCATTCCGACGCACTGAGGGGAAGGTGAATGGGTCCTCTGAGACACCTCGTGCACGTTACCATGAACAGGAGAGATTGCTAGGAAAAGAAACAAATTAGTATAATTGTTGAGAGGTTTATTGAACTACTTCGCTTAAAATATCGAATACAAACAAGCAATCTCTGAAAAAGCAATGATGTTCTTATACTACAAATTAATGGTGTTTTTCAATATTCGAAAATTATTTGATAAAAAATATAAGCAACTATTTTAAGAAAAGAGAAATATTCACAATTGCTATATTTTGTGGGTCCGATTTAGAAGTTGAGCGAATTTATCTTGCTATTCAGATAAAATAATAAAATTTCAACTGTTCATGTTTCTTTGAAAAGTACAAAAGGATCATATGTTTCTGACAAACTAGAAGGTGGACAAAAATACAAGAGGTGAATAGAGTCTATAATGTTTAGGGATGTTATTTATTAGTGACAAAACTAAGTGTTATTATTATATCCTCAACTTTCTCTTCCACCTAATCTTCTAATTGTAAAATAGTTGGGTAAACAAAGTGCTTCTTAGTCGGACTGAATAGCCGAGATCATTAAGATTGTTAAAGGAGCGATCGTGAAATGAGCAGTGCCATAGCGATCTCGAACCAAAAGATCCCGGGTTCGCGTCCCGCCTCGGGCTTGGTTGTATTTGTGTTTGTTCTTTCACCCCCTATCACCTCATCACCATATCATGTCATCTTCAGAATTGCCATAGTGTTAAATGCAATAGTGATCGCTAATGATCTAGATGTTGATGCGACTTTCAAAAATAACAACAACAAAAACAAAGTGCCTCTTAATTTTGGCGACAGCAGTATATGTTATAAATTTTCGGACAATTCTCTCCAAAGAAATTGATCGCGTTGGCTACATGAATTTATTTTTATAAATCAGTTAAATTTGCTCCGTGTATCTGGTGAATTGCCCCAGTAACCGACTGAAATATTTGGTAATAATAATTCACTATTGCACAGGCAAATTCAGTCTCTTAGAATAATACAATTTCAAACCAACACGCCAATATCAACATTATTTTCGGTTTTGATACTTTAAATAGTTTTTGATTGTCAAATATAATTATTCACAACAGGAAATAGTTTGCCTGGCATTTCAATTTGTGCATTGATTTTAATTGTTTATTGTCATCTAATAAAAGAATGTAAAAGTATTATTAGTGGACTTTTCGACATGGGGTATTGTTATTGGCACATAATGAATATGATTCCTACATGGTGTGTTATGGGTATTGCATGAAAAAAGGGCCCCCATAGAGTAAGCCAATTTTTTACAAAATCATTGATTTGTAAATGACGGAGGAAATGCAATAATAGTATTCCAAGCTCAGTAGAGACGCTTGCAGTAATCGCGTGGATAAAGTTAGCTTATTATCCGTGCATATTTTTAATCTGTACGTGTGTGCTACACGATGTGATTCCCTAGCCTGTCATGCCATTTTATGCCACAAACGAGTATTTACAATACATACAAAATGATCTACTTGAAGGCTGACCGAATTTGAAAAAAATACTGAATTCGTAACATAATGAACTTACTTAATGTCTTCTTCAATAAATGTTCTATTCTATTTGACTGAAATGAAATCCTAAAACATTTTCTACTTCTTCATCAATCAACGTCGTTAATTTTCAACGGAGAATAAAATTATTTATTTGAATTGGAAAAGTGGTGAACTAACTGGGTTTTTCCTTCTTTTACCAGTAAGTTGTTATTAAAAAAACAATACTTTAGAACTCAGATATCAGATTCCTTACCATATTTTTGAAAAGAGCATTTATTTAATAAGCAAGGAGAACTCTTATATTTTTATTTGACGAGTGCAGATCGTTTACGTATAAAAGCAAAGTCTCCAAAACCCAACCTTGCGGAACCCCAATTTGAATTGATCTGACATAATACATGCCTGAAAGTAATTTTCACTCCGTGAGATTTTAAGGTACCAAGATATCCAATCTAGAGCAATGCTAATAATTTTAAAACATTAAAGTTTAGAAAGCAATAAATTTGGTCAATGATACCAAGGCGTTTGAAAGGTTAAAATATGACAATAAATGCTTCATTTTATTCGTTGATGAAAACACGCCTTTAAGAAATATCAAATATGGGTTCTAGAAAACTATCCATATGTCTCAAATTGCGATGGTTATGTTGCCTTCCTGGATCAATTTACAAAATTTTCAATTATGAAACATTTAAGTTAACAAAATTATTAAAACATTAAAATAACATGAATTTTCAACGAAGAGTCAACTATAGTAAATAACCTGTTGATAATGATGTGAAAATATTATTATTATTATTTAATTTCGCTTATTAATGGTCAACCTTGTAGTTTATCATTTGAGTTCTCTAGGGAGTTCAGAGTCTCTTTTAAACCGAAAGCCTCTTTAGTAGTCCAAGTGCAAGCAGCCGTAAGCTGTGCATTGGCTGACGCTGCGCCTCGTCCCGCAGAACACAACGTGGTGGAGCTGCCGCCCATGCGCTTCGTCAAGGAGTCGTCCCACTCGGGCAAGATCCTGATGGAGGCCGTGGTGATCGACGTGACGGGCGACTACTTCTCCGCGGCGGAGGACGACCTGCGCACGGAGCGCGACGTGGACGAGCTGAGCATCTCGGACGACAGCCCGCACACGGCCGCGCTGCCCGACGACGACGACGGCCTGCCCTTCGACAAGCTCAACGCCGACTTCCTGGAGCGCGCGCTGGCGCCGCTGCCCGGCCCCGAGGAGCCCGCGCCGCGCCGGCCCCCGCGCCGCCGCAGCGAAGGCTTCCACCCGGCGGCGCCCAAAGGTACTCTCCTTCGGCGGCTCGGCTCATTAGCAATGCAAAAACGTACATGCCGGAATTATTCCTACGCATTTATGTTTGTACCGGTCAATATATTCCGAACGAAAATACGCCCCAGACAAGAAGCAATTGGGATTATTTGCGTGAACTCTTCTCGCGGCTCTTTTGTACAAATTGAATTGTCAAAATCTTCTTCACAAATATTTCTCAAAACAGTGATGAATTTTGTATATGATATTATTTAATTAGAGTTAATTGTCAGTTAAGAAATGAGCATGTGCATGAATTATTGAAAGTTAGGATGTGTAGTGAATTTCTTTGCTTTACGTCATTCATCCTTACCTTAAAGTAATTACTTCAAAAACGTTAATAAATATCTTTATTCGTTTTCTTTTCAAAAAACGTAGGATATACTAATAACATTCACAAGGGTTAGCGTTCCTCAGTTGTTCCATGGAACCTTTCATTGCACATGCTCTAAACATTTTAAAGCACTACTCTGTGCCCTCCACTTGCTCGTCTGCTCCCGACGGGGAATTATCCTTCCCGTGTGGAGACACCATGCGGTCGGTGGCGGTGACTATTGATGCTCTTGGAATATAATGTCGTCACACAACTAGGACGTCAATTCCTTGACCGTACGTCGATTTGACCGTGGCATCCTCCAATCAATCTCACATCCGTCCAACAACTCGGCGAGAACACGCCATGTCGATAGGGGTCTCCTTCTCATGCGTCGCCTACAAGCCCCTTCACTATGGCTACTAACGAACGTCCGTAGGCTCTTCCAATTGTTGAGCACTCAATATTCTTGAGCAGTCGAGCGGAGATACCATCAGACAAATCTGTAGGGGACTCTTCCCTACGCCTAACGAGATAAACCTCATCCTCAAGCCTTAAATTATATTGTAGGTTTGTAAACCTACCATTCCCGTTCTTGTTCAATATATTTTTGCCAGTTTGGTAGACGGATTACGGAAAGTCGGCAGGAAACTTTTCCCCTACATCTCACGAGAAAATCTCCACTCTGCAACCTTTGTATTCCACGGTGCGTCTATAATCCATTCCCGTTCGTGTGCACCATTCTGGAACAGTCTGGTAGTGGTACAAGGAATCTCTAAAAATGCTCTCTCCGCGCGGCGCGCGAGGCGAACGCCGCCGCGCGATGCCTCTAGTCCAGCCTCTAGTCCTTTAATCCTCTGGTGCAGCAAGCGCCGCCGCTGCGGCCGTGGGTGGCTCGGGGTCCCCCGACTCCGAAGAGGACATGTCCTTCAGCGACGCCCGCGCCTCCGTCTACGACACCTTCGCCAGCGCCAAGGCCAGCCTCCCCAGGGCCAAGGAAGAGGCCGCTTACCAGGTGAGGACACCACCCCAAAGGGCTCTTGGGTACATCGTTGAATGTGAACCGATTAGTTTGAAAAGAACTCATACACGTTCGGGATACGTGCAGTGTTTGTCCTATCGTTTTACCTGGACGGGTTAACCCTAGGATGTGTAGCTGACAGGTAAATAGCGTCGCTAGCCGAATCGCTTAACCGCGCCCCGTCAGGTCACGGAGGTTTAACAATTCGAGGCATAGTGAGCTCTTGGATGAGTCACCGTGTGGGAACCCCTCGCTGAAGATATAAAAGGCAATGCCTACAACTGACGACGAATATTAGAGGAGGATTACTCCATTACGCGTTCCACACCAACAGGTGGGCAGCATAGAACGTTGTTACCAGCAGACGTAACTGAACTTTAAAAAATATTTAACCCGAGACACGCAAACTCGCATGACCCTCAACGTATTCCAAATATGTAAGTGCCCCTGATGTGTTTGCGCTAGTTCGACAAATAAAAGACAATAACCTACAGGACTCTTTCACCAATCAGTTATAGCCTGATGGTACACAAGCAATAAAATAAATTAGCGCGTGGAAGTATAATACTTATTCTGAGTTATATATAAATCATTCATTAGATGACATAAGCCGGGGTTGTTTGCGTCTTTATTTATCACAATTAGATGGAAGTCACCGAAATAACCGTTAAATTATGTTAACAGTGATTTTTCTTATGAGTGAGACAGTTCAGACAAATTTCAGGCATTTTAAATTTAAATTACAATACAAAAACGCATAAATAAAAGGAAGTAGTCGGTCAAATAATTTTTGCCGAAGACCGGCCATTCCATCCAAAACCGTTTCAAAATTATTTATACTACAATAAAATCCGTGGTGGTAGCAGATATGTTGTGGTAATCCATAATGGGAGAAGTAAACAATCGTACACAAAAAGTATAATAATTTTATTAATTATTACCCAGAGTTAACTTTTGGAAAAGCACTTTTCCCACCCTCAGTGGGACGACTATTTCCATCTGCCATTGTACTGCAATGTTGTGCGTGGCTGGGGGCTGGGGCAGGTGGCGGCGATCGAGGAGCGGCTGGGGCCAGTGGACCAGTCCACCAAGAGCAGCCCGGCGGAGCTGGTGCGCCAGTGCGCGGAGCTGGCGGCCGAGGACAGGGCTGCGAGGCCCGCAAAGGAGCGCAAGGTGGACAGCGGCGTGCAGGCCGGCAGCGTGCGCCCCAGGAAGCAGGACGCCGAGAGCGGCCAGGGCGACTCCTTCGAGAACCTCGCCCAGAGCGCCGCGGGCAGCGGGCAGGTAACAGACAACACAGCTGCACCAAAGAACGAAGAGAGAAAAAAGGCAGTTGTGCCGTAGCGGTCTCGGACCTCAAAATCCCCAGTCCCGCCTGAGGCATGGTTGTGTTGTGGACGTCTGTATGTGTGTGACGTCCTTTCTCCCTTCACGCCCCCAGGGCTAACGACCTTCAAGGATAAAGATCGGGTGTAGTTAAATGCTGATCCGATGATAAAATTACTTGCACCTACTACCGAGATTATATTAGTGAGCCCCGGTAAATTCAGGATGCATGCAAGTTTGTTATAAGTCGGGCTATTCGCTAGCAAAGAAGAACAACGAATGAATAAATAAATAAAATAAATTTACATACGTATTTGGTATTTTGTGTCGATTGTCCAACTTTGCCGGCTAGCAAACAGTGTCCCCTGCCTGGTTTGATTCCTATGCTCCGGGTAAAAGTGGGGCGAACAAGACATTTCCATCACTATAACTTCCAAACTTCGCCTCCCTGAGCTTTTCCTCGTCATACGGCTAAAGAAACAGAGACGCCAAAACACCAGATTTTTAAAGGAGCGTCAAAACTCCAGCTTTGTCCCAATCGGAAATAGTATCCGGGAAAATTAAATAATATAATTAATAATGGGGAAAACTATGGGCATAAAAATATCAGATGGAATGCAAAACAAAGACTTCAAAACAGGAAATGCGACAAATTATTTATTTCTTATTAAAATGCAATTTCTTATAAAATTAACTATATCAATTAAAATAAAATCTGTGAACATTTATACTATTCTTCCTATATTAAACAATGTACAAAAAACAAGAACAACAGGAGCGTAACTTTAAATGTACATATTCCTTCAATTCACAGTTGCATAATTAATAATAGCATAAATAATGCATATTTATTTTTATTATTTTAATAATACATTAATTGGCAAAATGATAGACCAAGAAAGAAGTTAGCGTGATTTGAAGACTGGGAATAATAGAATCCGCTGGCTCCGTGGCGCAACAGTAGCTTCTGTGGCTGTAGATTGGGACGTTACAAGTTCAAATCGCGTTGGGGTCAGTCATATGGACTATTTTCAAATGGTCCTAAAAAATAGAGAGTGGCCAGAAATGTGAAGATAAGGGCGTCTGAACAATATGAAAATATCGGTCCACTCCGTGGCGCAAAGGGTAGGGCGTCTGTCTGCCGACTAGGAAGTTCCGTGTTCGAATGACGTTGGGGTCAGTCATACGGTCATTTTGAAATGAGCCGAAATTAATACAATTTTGGAAACAAATACTGACACTAAACGCATATGAAGACAGGTTAAATACTAGCTGTGGGCTCTCTGATCATGTAAGCTATGAGGCATCGCCAGGCGACTCCGTGGCGCAACGGTAGCGCGTCTGACTCCAGTTCAAGAGGTTGCGTGTTCGAATCAGGTCGGGATCGCAGGTCGTTGTTATGTTGGATCCCAATGATGGAGAGCATTAGTTCACGTTGAGAAACGTCTCTCTGATAATGCAAGCTATTAGCTGTAGCCACGCGACTCCGTGGCGCAACGGTAGCGCGTCTGACTCCAGAGGTTGCGTGAAGGCGTTTTAAGAATATTTGACACCGGAGCGGAGCGGCGGCGCGTCTGATATCAGATCAGAAGATTGCGTATTCTAATCACGTGCGAGTCAGTCGTACGGGTATTTTGGAATGATCATAAAGTAATACAGAAAGTGGCCACGAAGACTTGAAGGTCCAGGAGTCTGAAGAACGTTTAAATACCGGCTACCGGCTCCGCGGCGTAGCACGTAGACTCCAGACCTAGAGGGTTTCATATTCGAATCTCGTCGGGACTAATTATGCAGTTGTTTCGAAATGAACCACGAATAATTGACACCACACTATTGACCGCGAATACTGACGTTAATAGCGTCTGAAGAATTTTTGACAATGCACCGTGGATTCTGTGGGGCAACGGTAGCGCTTTTCACTCAAAACCACAAGCTGCGTGTCCAAATCACGTCGGGAGTCAGTCGTACAGTTATTTCGATTCGATCCGCAAATAATACAATGGACAAAAAACTTAAGTTAAAGGCGTTTTAAGAATCTTTGAATAATTGTAGTGGACTCCGTGGTGCAACGATCGCTTGTCATACTCTAGATCAGAAGGTTGCAAGTTCGAATCACTTCGTCATCGGTGTTATTTTGAAATAATCCTAAAATAATTCAAAGCGTGGACACAAAGAATAATGATAACGGCGTCTAATGAATGTGGAAGAATCTACGGTCTACTACATGGCGCAACGATAGCCCGTTTGGCTCCAAGTCAGACGTTTGCGTGTTCGAATCACGTGGGGGCAGTGGTCGTTGTTTTGTTGGATCCCAATGATGAAGAGCATTAGTTCACGTTCAGGAACGTCTCTCTGACCATTCACGCTCTCAGCCGCAGCCAGGCGACTCCGCGGCGCAACGGTAGCGCGTCTGACTTCAGTCCGGAATGTTGCGCGTTGGAATCACGTAGGGGTCATCGTATGCTATTGTCATACGTCGCTCTTGGTGTAAGAATCGATATGTGATATTTCCATTTTAGAAAGAAGAAGTCACCTCGCAACAGCGGACTCCCTAGGAAATTAGCCATAAATAATAGAATTTTGGTGGCAAATACAGATGTTAATTGCTTCTGAAATATTTTGAGACACTCGCTGTGTACTGCTTGGCGCGACTGTGTCTGACTGGTGATGAGAAGTTTGTGTGTTCGAATCACTTCGAAGTCATTCGCTAGCCGTTTCCATCTCATACGACGTACGCCATCTCATACGACATCTCAATTTTGGTTACAATGATCTTAGAATTGGTTCTCGCAGCGGTAGAGTGCGTGACTCGGCATCTGCAGGCTGTTCTTTGGCGAGGTGGTAGGGGAGTTTTTGGTGCCTTATTGATGTAAGCCTAATGGGCACGATGTGTGAAGATCATATCGCTTAAGAATTTCAAAAATTCTTTTTTGAGATCGCACGGCTAAACGGTGGCAGCTTTGAATCCAATTCAGGTTTCCTGTGGCATCACCTCGGAGTGAATTCAATACCGTTTGAAGAATGTAAATCGCTTCTTTCAGTAAAGTCGTGGTGCCCCGAAAGTGCGGTTATTTTCTATTTAGAATGTTGGGTTCTCGATTCTCAGTGATTCGGTATAATTCTAAAACAAGTCGTAAGGTGCGCAATATGAACGACGAGGCTGGCTGACGATCGAGGAGAAGGTTTGGTGTCGAAGGAAGGGCATTTATAATAGCACTTTGACTCCATGACTGATGTGACAGTCCACATGAGACAATTATTCTCTTAATGGAGCAAATCTCGCAACTTCTTTTCCAAATGAAAAGCCGTATTCGGTATTTTCAAGCAAAATTATGATTAGTAAAATTACTAATTATTTCAAATTATGATTTTCACAGAACATGTTTCAAGGACCCCTATGAATAATACAATCAATTTTTACAACTCAGGGCATATTTTAAACGATCAGTGAAAGATATTTTACTTTCTTCTCTGCAATATTTCGAAGATCCACGAATTCATGTAGAATTTTACTGCTTAATATTTTTCTCCAAATATAATGCATTTTCACAAAGGTATTTTGTGAATACCTTTGTTAAACAAGAAGCCCCAAATGGTGCACAATTTTATCTATTCTATCGTCTGCATTAATGCTGCTTATAAAATATACAAACAACCTTCAATTTTTCTATCCAATTGGAAAATGTACACAGGATCCCTTTTATGGTTACAGGAAAATATTTAATCGTACTGGTAAGATTGTATTACCAAGACAGAAAAATAGTGTGTCTAGTTATAGGAATTCAATAAATGAGCACATATTCCATATAGTATTATTAGCAGCATTATTGTCGAATTTTTATGTAGATGATACTGATGTCGATTATTATTATTATTATTATTATTATTATTATTATTATTATTATTATTATTATTATTATTATAGTAATAATAATTATTATGTACCTCATTCTACTGAATGTTTTCGTTTTGATATATAACTGTCCGGTGTGCACAGTCGGTGTCGCAAGAATCCGGCGAGGCCCAACCGCCCGACGCTCAGCCCACGAGGCCGCCCAAGGGGGTGAAGCGGCGGGGCTCGACGCGAGTGCCCTCGGGGGACGCGGCGGTGGGGACGGAGGAGGGCGCGGCGTCGGCCGCTGACAAGCGCACGAAGCGGCTGTCGGCCGCCGACATGGACCTGCCGACGCTCAGCAGCCCCACGCCCGAGGACGCCGCGCGCGCCGCGGCCGCCGACGCGTCCGCGCTCACGCGCTCGCTCCAGGACATCCAGCGCGGGCTGGCGCTCGCCGACGCCAAGCAGGTGCCAAGCAGCTCCTCTGCTCGTTGTCACCTCCAGCTCTTTTTCTTCTGCCTCTTATTTCTTGCGTTTGTGGAGTTCTCTTCATTCTCTTTTCCTGTCTTTGCTCCCTTTTCGTTTTTCTTGGTCCCTTTAGAGCATCGTGTCCCCGAGTCCTTGGTTTTTGCCAGTTCCCTCTCTCATTTTGAACTCCGTGTATGTGTCACCATTTATCATTATTAATCATTCTTTATATTTTCTTTTAACATTCTACAGTCCTTTTCTCCAAATGCCGTCTTTTTTCTTACGTCAAGGCGATTTGTGCACCTACTATTGATTTTGCCTTAACTTTAGAGTTAGGTATCTTCTTTTCTTTACGTCTTAACAGATATCACACGTTGTCTCTTTCCAGTCTACAAACTTTTGGTTAGAATGGGGAAATATTGGATTTGCTCATAAAGCAATAGAATTGGAGTAAACAAATGAACTCGAACCAAATATAAGTATCGCATGTCTACAGGGAACGTTAAGCAACTTAGACAATGACAATAAAACCAGGCCTAGGATTTGATATTATCAATTTTAGAATCGATAAAATATTTCAATTTTCAGGTCGAAGAAGATAGGTCCTCTCATGTAGTCGATCGTGTCGCGTCCCCCGCTGATCAACTTCTACTTGGGTTACAACAGCTGCAGGAGCAGCAGATTCAACAGCAACAGCAAATACTACAGCAGCAAGACTTTGCCTTCGTCAGTGATGTTGCATCGCTTCCGGGCTATCAGGTCCGTCTTACATATCGGAAGATAAACCAATTTATATGAAAAATATGCGTATACTTTGAAAATTTTGTTATCGGTTCCATCTAAGTTGGAATAAAATTGGACCGTTTTTGAACCTAATGTCTAAATGAGAAACTGGATAAATATTTTAATAATGTGATACTATTAATAAATTGTTTTAGAGTAAGAATTATATATATGACACGATTGAAAAACATTTTTGATCATATCAGTTATCATATTCGGAGGAACGAACGCTTCATTCAAACTTTGATTAGCAATAGATTTTAAAGTGCATTTTAGTGGGAGTTTGACAAGTTATGTCGTTACAGTTGTGATGTGCTGGCAGATTCCCCAGCAGTGGGGATGAACTGTGAGATTAATTCTACATGGGATGTCTAAATTAATGTATTCTGCTGTGGGTTTGACAAATCACTCGTGGATTGCAATAGTGAAACAACCCAAAAATTTTCAATTTTGAGGTAATTCTTCGCCCAGAGTTGCGGATTGGTCTATCTTCTAGAAGTAACAGTAGCATACACAGTGAATCTTAACAAGGATAACTTTCTAATATGTCCAGTCATCAGCTCCGTGAATTCCTGCATGTATAGTCTTTCTAAATTTCTTTATAAACGTTTCTAAAAACCTCTTTTTGAAGAGAATTATATACAAATTATGTCACTAAGAATAGCTTTACCCTAGTAAAAAATCTTCAAGAACTTTTTCTTTATTCATATCACACTATGATTTCCCTCAGTGTTTTCCACCTTGTCTAGAGATTTAATAAATCAAGTACTTGTATTTGTGAAAAAGACACAAAATTAAATGAGATATTCCCAATCACGAGATAATTATTGCAGTAAATTTAATTCTTAATATCACAATTTTTAAGTTCAATGACGTAATCAAAAAAGAGATCAATGGTGCAGCTTATGGGGTGTATTTAACACCTTTTGATCTGAAATTATAAAGCGGAAAATATAATCTTATATTTTATCTAAATTCAACGTTAAATTTTACCGTCGCTAAGTCTGCGATACGTTTATTATTCTTCAGCAAGATCTAGCTCTTTTAGAGTGTAATAACTTCCATCCTAATTCAAATTTACTATTGTAAGAGAAGTAGATAACAAAATCAATTTAAGAAACAACTACTAACAAATTTTATCTAAAATTCAATCTTAGAGAATGAAGTTTCTTGAGTCAAAGCAATGGAGGATGAAGGATGAAAATACTTTGGGGAATAAATTTTTATCATTTCCTTTCGTTCTCATAATTAATTATAAATTAGAACAGGTTTTTAAAGAGAAGTACAAGTGTAGATGAACCACCAAAGTCCATAATAACTTACTATTATAAAAGAATATATTTCTTCTTTGAAGAGAGCTAAAGCTGCACAGGGCATTGAATGCAACGATTGCGATGAAATATATTTAGGCCAAACTACTCTAAGTAAAGTTCTAACTAGAATGAAAGAAAAAGACTGGAAAATAAGAGAAATTTTTCGAAAACAAAACTCTGTAACCAATAATGAGATAAAGTTATTTTTTTATTTATTACCTCCTGTTCGGCATTGCTGCCTTTCAGGGGTGTTTACATTTTACAAAATAATACTTTGACATTCCTTGTTGACATTCATTGCTAATTGTCCTGAATATTCAAGGCTGTGTTCAGTGTATAATTTTGAAAAACTGATTTGATGTGAATTTATTTTTATAATTCATTGAATAAAATATTTAAATGTTATTATTTTATATTAATAGCTGTTGGAGAATTAATGACGTTGAGTATTTATGGAGGTCTGAGTTTATCCTTGGGAAATTGTGAGCATATTCTATTTGGTTTTGGGTAGTTTTTGCCGAGTTTGACGTTGGGCGTGGCTGAAGATCCTGAAATAGTGTCAAAGAACTTTTTCGAGGATTTTAGGATGTGTTCTTGTATTGACTCAATTCGTAATTCTCTGTAAAGTTGTTTGTTACTAATAAACCAGGGATCTTTAGTTATTTTTCTTAAACATTTGTTTTGAATGATTTGTAATTTTTCGATGTGTGTTTTTGCAGCATTACACCAAATTGGGTGAGATACGAGATTTTGGCCAAATTAGGCAAAATGCGAGATTGTTGGTCGTAATATCGATTTATAAATTGTAGTTCCACATTCAATAACTTAAAGCTGATTTAGAGTTTAGTAGAGAATAAAGTTTAGCGATTTTTGCGTACGTTTTGTTTGCAATTGTTTTGATGTGGTCTTTCCAAGTTAATTTTGCATCAAATGTTAGTCCTAAATATTTAACTGCCGTTTATTTGAAAAGCCATTATATTATTAAATTTTGAATTTTAAGGGGGGGGGGAGTGGTCGGTGGTTTTCAAAGTGTGAAATTTTTGCTTGAGATTTGTGCGAGTTAATTTTGATTCTCCACTGTTCAGACCAGGTTATATATGTTGTTAAGTCGTTCTGAAGGGTGACGTAGCACAGAGTATATCCTCGTGGGCTGTGAATAAAGCGGTGTTGTCAGCAAAGAGGGTGAGATCTGAGTCAGCTCGCTTTAGGATATCCGGTAAGTATATGCTAAAATGTAAAGGTGATAGGCATGATCCTTGAGGGACACCGGCTCTAGGTTGGCATTGATTAGAATAAGTAGAATTGATTCGTACCAGGAAATGGCGATCTGCTAGAAAGCTGTCGATCATTTTATAGAGGTAGTTTGGTAAACCCAGACGTTGTAGTTGTAGTAATCCGGGGTGCCACATTTTGTCAAATGCCTTTTCAATGTCTAGAAATATTGCTAAGGTGTGTTTGTGTTGATGGAAAGCATTAGCCATGAATTCTGAAAGTCTCAGGAGTTGGTGCGTTGTTGAGTATTTATTTCAAAATCCGAATTGAGTGTTAGGTGCAACCTTTATTTCTGTAACATATTTTTTTATACGTGTATTAGCTTCTCGAATAATTTGCCAAGAGTTGGAAGTAAACATATCGGTCTATAATTGGATGGATTTTGGGGGTCTTTACCTGGTTTGTTGAACGGCAAGATATGCTAGTTTTCCAATTTTTAGGAAAATGGCCTAATCTTAATTCCGAATTGAAAATGGCGGTTAAAGCCGCGATTGCCTTTGTCGTCAGTGCTTTGACGGCTTTATTGCTCATTTTATCATATCCTGTTGCCTTTCTAGATTTTAATTGATTGTTTTTCTAGCTTCAGAAGGTGAGATAAATTTAATTTTTCCTGGGACAGTTGCAACTTGTTTCGCTGATTCAAGTAAAATGTAATTGTTGAACTGGTTGTTAATTGGATTAGGAGTGAAGGTTTTCTGAAAATGTTTGGCTAGTAATTTAGCCTTGTTTTCTTCTGAGTACGCGATTTCTGTATCGCTTTTTAAAATTAGGATATCTGCTTTTTCTTTGGTGATTCGTCTGATCGTAGTCCACATTGGTCTGCTATTGGGGTGAATTTGTTTTATTATATTCTGACATTCAGAATAACGAAATTGTTCTAGTCTGTATTTAATTATTCTGGAAATTTTATTCAATTTTACTTTATGGTCTGGTCTTCTGGTTGTTTGTCAATATCGTCTAAGGTTATGTTCAGTTTTGATTAGGTTTACTACTTTCAATGGAACTGTTTTTTTAATTTTAATTCTTGCGGAATATCGTGTTGTTGACTGTTCAATTGTTTTCTGTATCGATTGAGATATACGCAGCACTTGCATATCTAATTCATCGTTGGTGTGGATTTTACTAGGGTATATTATAAGTGATAAATGTTTAAGTTCAAGCGCTCATTAAATTTTCAAAATCCAAGAATCTTTGATATTACGACTCAATGATATCCATGTTTGGTTCCTGAAAGAGATGAAAATAAATAATTTTATTAATACATATGTTGACAATATTTTTACCTAACTTTACGAGGCTTTCTTGTGTAGATGTCGAGCACAGAAAAAATAGTTCCACCTTCCCTCCTCTACTTCTATAACCCGCTCCTTCCGTTCCCCGTTCGTTGCCTTAATTTCCTCTTTCCTTCAGACACCTCATTCTTTCAACCACAACGAACTTGACTTTGTCCATCCAGTGAAAATTGTACATAATCATAATATATTATACATTTTTTCTGTTGTAAGCTTTCGTGTGTCTTAAGTTCTGACCTGTCACAATCTCTCCATTTCTGCATTGTATTGTAAA